AGATGGGACCTCGAGTGTGGGTGTGTGTGGATATTCAGTGCCAGTAGCAAACTGTGTGACGAATTACCAGTTTATACATAAAAGTCTCTTTAGCACAGGTAGGATATTAACTGCAGAAAATAAGAGATAATTATTGGTCAAACAAATTTTTAATTTTTAAATAAAGCTATATATTAACAATGTTGCCCACAATTGTATTTAAGGCGTGTTAATGTTTTTGTTTACCTAAAAAACAGATAATAGGAAAACCTAACCCTGTAATAAGCTTCCCGTGCTCGTAATTGTTTCGCAGGAAGTACCTGATTCAATTATAGAAAACCACCAACTACTAGACAGCAGTGACAGAGCAGCGTAGATTCCCCTTTGGGAGGTTCTCATGGCTGCTTCTCAACTAGATGGAAATCGGTGGAGCGACCTGTAATTTAAACGAATTCACATCGTTTCAATTATGCACATTTGTTGAGCAATTTTCATAATAAATATTCTAATTGGCTTTTAATTATACGAAAAGCGTTTCGTGTTCGAGTCTGGCAAATTGACTAATTGCCGCTTGTAATTGCAATATATTAGATGACGCCTCATTGGCCCGGACCACCGGGCCCGTTCTACTCCGATAAGCTACACTATACTGCAAAGCCATACATTGAGCCACAAAGTGTAGAAGTATAAGTAGATGTATAGCCCATATGCAGGCCCCAAATGGCAAACCCATAATTACCTTGACCAACTCGAGGCTGGCACGCAATCCGAGCATTTGTTGGCCTGTCAGGGCGGGGTTATATTTTGGGGAGGAGCAGGCCAATGGGTCCTATATATACATACATTCATATGTGGGCCCTACGATAGCTTCGCCCCGAGTATAATTCAATAACGGCATCAGCGATTCAGTTGCGGTCGTCACTAATTGATTGTTTAACCAGCTAAATGTCCAAGGCGGGATTTTCTCCAGCGTTTGAATAATGCATTGCACTGCGGGCAGTGTGGAATGGCATTTATTTCGAGAGCCAATCGTTGCACAGTGGGCCAGGATATAAAAATAGGGGTTATGCTTCTTAAAGGAAAACATTTAAGCAAAAATGTTAATGTTTAATTTTTTAAGTAAATCTAAAAACAAATTCAAAAGATTATAGTTTTTCATTTAGTCTAGAAACTATAAAGATTTTATATTATTTAAGGTAAGGGTTTAATATGGTTATATTTGAAATTAAAAATTAATATATAAAGTGAATTTTAGATTCCGTACTTTTAGATCCCATCTAACCACTGTGCTTCGCCAGTGAAATGCTAACAATCATACGCAGCGTGGGCGCTCCAGCTCAGCGAGCATAAAACAGTAACAACAGACATCAGGTTGTCATAAAGAGTGCATATTTATGTGGCTAATTCGAAATAAAACATAAAACTCACCAAATAATATTAAGAGTCTCTCGGCAGACCCAATAACCGAGTGACTGAACGGCAGAGAAACCGAGATGCATATCAACAATTAGGACGCCCCATGGTGTTGGCCACGAAATCGGGAATTGGTAATGGGCAACTGAGAATTGAGAATTGAGAAATTTGACGCTTTTACGAGCCGGAGGATGGAGACTGGCATCAACATCAGCAGCAGCATAATGTCTCTCTTTGATATACCAAATTAAAGCATTCGATATTTGATCGCCGGAGCACTTTGCATATGAAAGAGACGGCGTCTGGCGCCAGAGATTCGTGATGAGGCTGGCGATCTAACAGTCCAACAACAGTCGAAAAAACACCCGGAGAGCCAAACATAATTGAGGCAATTAGAAAACATCAAAATATTGTGGACCCTGGCCGCAGAAAATTGTTAAATAAATAAAAGCCCAAACGAGACGTTGTTGCGGCTCTTAATTAAGCACTTGAGGGCCCAAAGTCGAGTCAAATGTTTATTCTGTTTACCCTGGGACAAGTCGAGCAGTTGGCAATGACACAGCGGATCTGGAGTGTGTGTATATAGTAGGTTATGTGGCTAAGGAGCGGGAGACGCCCACCGTCGGATCATTCAATTAAAACGCTTACCGAGTTATTATTACGACAAACAAATGTCGAGGGCCTGGAAAAGTGATGCCAATCTAGTTGGACCGCAGGAAGTGGCCCAAGAGAACGAGAACAATCGCCAGTAAATTACAAGCAATTGAAGTCGGCTGATCGAAATCTTAACCCCAAAAACGATGACGGAAGTGGGGTTAACAAGCGTGGCGGCGGCCAAAGGAAAAAGTTCGTCGCCTAAGTCTTTCGTTAGACAAACGGAGGGAACATGGACTTTAAAATTAATTACTTAATTTAACACAACAAGCGGCCGGCGACACCTTCGATGAGGTCTGATGTCTCTCGAACGACAACGGAAAGCACTAAACAGTCGTTTCGGGCCAGAAAAAAAATAAGAAAACCTGTTGGCTCGGATGGGCCAACATCTTGCCAACGATCCTGGGCCGGAATGAGCGGGCTTAACAGATTAGTTAGCATATCCCATATCAGGGTAATTATTGTTAAATGCGATAACGATCTTGTACAGCGCTGACATTTATTTATTTTCCTTAATTTCGCCGTATTAATCTTCCAGGAAACACACATTAAACAGAACACCGAGATATGGCACGTCCCGATCTTGAACCCTGCGCTCAGCTATCTGGGATCCCGAGGATGGCCATTAAGGGGTTAGGGGCCTCGATCTTGGCTTGACAATTTGCATTATGCCGGCGATCGATCAGCGATCGGTGAAATTCAACATTCGACAATAATGAGCAAGGGAGGGTAAAGAGAAACCCAAACTCAATTAAAATCCAAAATAACTCGCAGACGAGAGACACAGCTAATTTAACCAAATTGGATTACTTAATAAACTTTATGGGATATATAACAATAACAACGGGCAGCAAGTTGTGCGTGGTGCTGGCCATAAAGTGAATGCGGCGTTATTATATTATTTCTATATCGCTCTTTTTTTGGGGCGCGCCGCATAACAAACCTTTTGAGGCATTCAAAAATCAAAACAGAAAAAACCGAGAAAAAACTCAGTCAGCCACGAGGCAAAACAAGTTGTACAAACATATGTATGCCTGATATATGTATAACATCATCAACAGCAACAACTTACCAAATTGTGTTTTAATTTCCGAGAATTATCAGCAAGGGATTTCATTCCGATTTCGGTTTTCGTTACGTTTTCGTTGTTCGCTCCCTTCGTCAGTTCATTTTCATTTTTTCACTTTTTTCTGCCTCGTTCTACGGAAACATTTGAAGAGTGATATTGAAAAGCAGGCCAGCCGATAAGCCCCCGAATCCAATATGCAAGGGGCGTGCCCCAGCCCCATTATTAATTACAGTTGCCCCTCTGGTTGGGCAAATGTATCTCTGAACTCGAATCGGGAATCTCCATTCTCCATTCTCGAATCTCGAAGTTTCCATCAAATGTGCGTGCCCGCTAAGCAAACAAGACTCGCCATTAGCTTGTGGGGTTTATATAGGTAAAGTCGGCGATTCCAATCGCCGATGGAACATATAATTTGCCCGCTCTGATTTATGACTGTTGCAATTGTAAACTTTGTGATTGCGAAGGCCCCTCCGAAAAACCCCCCTGATTTTACTTAGAGGGACCTTTGACAGAGTGCCACAATTTAGTGCTGTTAACAGCTAGTAATTAGACTCGTTATGTCCGTTAATTAGCCATATCAGCTAGGCCAATCGAGTTTGCAGTTTGCCCATTGCAATTAGCCACTGCATATTCATTAGGCCCCACTCGATAGCCGATAGCTGATAGGTGATCACTGATAGCTGATTTGCCGATAACGATAAACGACCCCCCTCCTAGTCTCTCCGCAATTGTCGCATAAATTTGTGGTCCAATAATCATAAATTTGGCTTTTAAATCATTAGCACACCTCGAGTGGCTCATTAACCAGTTTTCATATGGAGCTCCTGGCCAACCGAACCCCCTTTCCACAGCCACCCCCGCCCCTTTGATCTCGCACGAACTGCGCTCAATTAAATTCTACAATAAAACACGATTTGCATTTTAAATTGTGCAATTAAAATGCTTATGAAATCTATAAGAAGTAACGATCGCTAAATGCATTTTATAGCCGCCTCCTTCGGCTATCCCTCTCTGTGTTTCTTTCAGCCCCCTCTCAATCCCCTTCTCCACCGCACCTGTCACCATTCGAGTGGACAGAAACAGCAACAACAATGTTAAATGTCACACGCTAATTAATTGACGGCGCATAATTTTCAGCTCTGTCACACAGTGGGACGAACTCAATTAAAAGGGGGTGGAGATGCAGAAATTGAAACGCGAAAAAATAAAATATTGTTTTAGGAAAGTTGAACTAGAGAAAAACGAATAAAAGCGACTTACAGAAATGGCAATAGTATTGCTTCTTATGTAAACAAATTATTATTAACCAGAATTATTTAAATACGTGTAATAATGACATCAATTCGAATAAAGTAATCTTTTAATTAAATGTATCTCCATTTAAATGGCAAGTCAATTTGATTTTTGTTGTAATTACAATCAAGTCCGAAAGAAAATGTTCTGAAAATAAATAAGTACCTCAACCCAGTTCCCAAAATAAATCCAACAAACATTTCTTTTTTTTAGATTTCTTTTCATAATGAATATTTTATATTTTATATGATAATATTTTTGTGTATTTCTTACAATGTTGTCTTGGCTTAGAAAGTAGTTACTAGACACTAGGGCTTTATGCTAAGGGGGTTTAAATAATATCCAGCTGCAGTTGAGCGACTCTAGAGGTTCGTGCTTAAGACTAAACATAAATAAATGCTAGATCGTCATACAATAAACAGGAATTATACATTAGGTAGTGGATTGAGTACGATTTCTTCAGGAGGAATTCACTAATTAAAAGTAATGCTTGTCATGAATATTTACACGCTTAAACCATTAAATTTGTACAGTTATAGTTTGTGTCTAGCCTAAGCATCTTTTTTAGGTTTTTCTTTTTTACTTGTTCATTAGATATTTTCGTAAAGAGAGGAAACAACTTGCGTTCATTTGAGCTCTACTCAACCTCGGTTCATCGCAAGGATTTGGCACGGATCTTGAGAGATGGTTGTGGATGAAGGACAGAGGGGGGTCTCTAATACTTTCCTATGTACAGTGGTTAGCCTAACACGCCTTAAGAACGCTCTAAGAATATATCACAACAAAACAAACTATGTTACTTCCGCTGGAGTTCGACTGGGAACCCCCGAAAACTGGAACTGCTGGACTCTGCTGGCCAGGCTAAGGAACTCACGGACCGCCGCAGGAGGATCTCTTCCCCTGGCTTCTGACTTTAGTGACTGGCGTCCAGGTCGTGCTCCTCGTCGCTGGGGCATTCGTCCATCTCCATGTCGATAAGTTCGTCGTCGTCCTCATCGCCACTGCCGTTGTGCATATTCCTCTGCGATCCATCGCCGCCGCCCTTCTCGTCCTCCTGCTGCATCCGCTTGTGCTTGGTGCGGCGGTTCTGGAACCACACCTTCACCTGCGTCTCGGAGAGATTGAGGGTCTGGGCGAGGGCCTTGCGCTCCGCTCCCACCACGTACTGGTTGCTCTCGAAGGCGTGCTCCAGCTTCAGGAGCTGCGATGGCGAAAAGGCGGTGCGAATGCGCTTCGGTTTGCGGAACGGGGGCACCAGAAAGCCTTGAAGAAAAGAAGAGAGGGTTTTGGTTAGTCAACGGATTTTAAAAATATATTTTACTAACTATATATAAATAATTTCAAATGAGTTTATCTATTACAAAGTGTAATATTACATTTATGATATATCTTCAAAATGTTTTAAAACGTTAGGATATCAAACTTATTAGTGAGTTAAGTCCCAAAAAAATTCTTTAAATAATTTAGAAAATATTTTTAATCTTTTTATATCTCAATAATTTTTTTTTATATTTTAAAGACACTTACTTCCAGGGAACCGGTGCGGGAAGATCCTTCCGTGGCGGCTGAGCAGCCAGGGGTACAGCTGGTAGCTATCCCTGGCCATGCCCGGATTGGGCATAAACTGGGCGGCGTGGGGCGGCAGTCCGGCGGCAGCAGCGGCGGCGGCAGCGGGACCCAGGACATGTCCCGCCTGCAGGGCGGCGGCCATTTGGAACTGGGCGGCGGCGATGAGGTGCGGATTGTGCTGGGGCGGCAGTTCCGGCGGAGCGTTGATGTAGGGCGGCAGGGCCTTGATGTCCGGCATGCCCGGCTGTCCCTGCGGCATCGGTGGTCCTCCGGGTCCCATGGGAAAGGGTCGCACTAGACCAGCCGGCGGCATGCCCGGCATCATCATGGGTGCTCCTCCAGCTCCGGGATGCATCATGGCGGGCTTTGGATAGTTGGAAGGCTGCTGCTGGGGGGGCGTGGCATGCGGACTGCTGATGAGCAGCGTGGGCGACGAAGAGGGCTGTGAGGACTGGGGGCTCACGGATTTGGGAGGCGTGTGCGGTGGCTGGATGCGCTGGGCGGGATTCTCCGCCTGCTCGTGGGCAGGTGGTGCAGGTGATCGCTCGCGCTTCAGGGAGACGGGAATCTGGGGCTGCTCCGAGTCCGGCGAGAGGCGTGTCTGCAGCGGACTCAATCCGCTGGCCATGGCGGCATTGTGATGCAGTCGCTGGAGCAGCTCCTGGATGTCCTGGTGGCTCTTGGGAGTGCCAGGATGTTGCTGCTGCTGGTGTTGCTGTTGCATGAGGAGGTGCTGGTGCAGCACATGCTGCTGGGCGGGCGAGAGATGCGGATGCGGATGGGCGGCCATTTGCTGCTGCTGCTGCTGGGCATGGGGATGTGGATAGGGCAGGCCGTGGGCAGGAGGAGCCATCAGATGGTGCGGAGGTGAGCCGGGAATCAGGGTGAGCGTGGCTGGCGGCGTCTGGGGCGGCGAACCGGGCCCGTTCCTCTCGCCGGGCGGCGGACTCTGGCTGCCCGTTAGCTCCGGCGTGGAATTGCCGCCGGCAGTGCTGACATCATTGCCCACAATGGACTCGATGCTGAAACCGATCTTCTGCTTGGGCGTGGGCATCATGACGGCTGCGGCGGCGGTGGGAACCGGCGGAATCATCTTAGTCATAAATACGGCGGTTAGTTCGGCTATGTTGGCGGTTGGCGGTTTTCTCCAGTGGGGGTTAAACACGAGTTTTTTGATTTTTGTAATCCTTGTGTTCTTTTAATAACTCTTTATATATTTTCTGGAATATTTCTCACACTAAGCGACGCATTGGAAACGCTTGTTGTATTTCTCTACCATATAAATCACACACGAATCACAATCGAAACTGGAACTTTAACTCTACAGCGATCGACGCGCTCGTTTCGTTGCGGAAGACGAGGAATATGGACGTGTGCTCTCGACGACGTTCGATGTCTGAATAAATCCGGAGAGCTCTGCTACACCACCAAGTGTGCGCTGCTCGAATGCCGCCGAGAGTTGAGAAACGAGAGCTGAGAAAAGTAATGGGAAATCGCCCTCTCTCGGCGGAGTGGCAGGCCAAACCAGTTTACCGGGCCAGAACGGGAGGCACTGTGCCCTCCGCTCTATAGCCATCTTGTTCACCCCTGCCTTGTGGACTTTATCTACCCCGGAGATATGGTATATCCCCCTGCGAGTGAGTGAAATGGCTGCGTTTCTAGATGGGCGGGTCCTATTTAATGCGCTGCTCTTACCGCTGCCCCAGACTTTTCTGCATATGGCTTCCGTTCGCATTGAAACAGCCACCAAAAACCACCATCGGTTGTTGTTGCTCTTGGCCTTTGTGTAATTTGGCTTAAACTGCCATTCATAGTTTTTGTTTTTGCGGCTGCATTTCTGGGCCGGAACGAGCGCTAAATGAAAATCTAATGCCAGGTGGAAAATGTCTCTGTTTGCGGACTCTGGACAAATTTGCAGGAACTTCGAAAGGGTTTCGGCTGGCTTACTGGGATTCCTTTTTTAAATATTTCCCTTGGTTAGAGGATTTAGTTAAGGATTTTCGTTGTGCAAATTTATAGATGGCAAGGATTTGAAGGAAGTTTTAAAATAACTGTTTGTTAGTAGACATTTTTTAAAGACAATTTCAATTGATTGTAAAACCTTGTCTTCGTGAACAGTCATAGTTTAAATTTAGGTTTTAAAAAAAATGTGATACTTGGTGTTTTGGAATTTTGTTTATTTAATTTAACTAGAAATTTCTATGAAAATTAAAGACTTATGGCAAAGAGAGGAACTTTTCCTTAAGGTTTTTTTTTTGTTAATTTAGATAAATAGCTAATAGTTATAGTTTTTACCAATTAATACACATCAATCGACTGGGAACTATCTATACATAACACTCAATATTGGTACAATTTGTTGAAATTCAATGCATTGTTTCATTAAAAATACGCCACTGCTTGTACTGGTGGAAGTCACCTAATCTTAAAACGCCTGAATAGTTTTTGGTTACCTTACAGGATCTTCAGTTGTTCAATCCAATCCAAACCACATTAGCGATTCCACACCATGGATGCACTTCAAGTGCTGTCCCAATAAATCATCCTTGAATTTCTATGGGGACAGTTTTATGACATGTGCTACCGCGTTATTTTTCGCTACAATTTAAATGTTAATTTTCGGACATTACCTTTATTTTTGGCACACGACAACGTTCGCATAATTTATGTAGTGTCCGAATCGCAATTCCAAAACTAAATCAGAGCAGGTTCATCAATAGTCGCGACGTGCTAAAAGTCTCACTTCGTCCCCTCGGCCAACATTATAATTATTCCTCCTATCGAATTTTCTAAACACATTCGGCGGCGAGCAAATAATATTTGGTAGTGCTACATTCACACTCTGTTATCAGTTTGGGGCCTTCGAAACCGTCGCCGGACTTCGAAGATTTATGGGGCTAGAAATCGCAACAACAACTTGTGTGTTAGATTAAAATCTATCAAATTTTTATGGCCGCTAATTAAGCCACGCATATTTACACAACGCTTTCGTTTCGATTCGATTCGACGCGAGGCATAAACAACTTTCGAGTCCATTAAAGCGTAATTATGTTGACTAATGGATTTTGATTACAAGGCGAAATGTTGTCGAAAGTTCAACGATTTTTGCTGAGTCGGTTTGATTTGCGGTCTAATGTGCAAAACGTGTGTGTAGCTAATTTCGATTTGATTTCGATTTTCGGCCTTTGAGATTTAGTTTTGGTTTTGTGAAAGTCTTACAAAAATAATTGGGAAAAATATATTTATGGTAATTTTTAAAATTATTTTTATTTATTGGATATAAAAAAGTTATTTGTATACAAGATTTTTAGTTAATTTAGTGATAGTGTATCATATTTAAAATGGAAAATAAAATTCCCATAAATATATCATGATTTTAAAATAGTCAATTTTAATTACAAAATTCCTCGTAAGTGAACCTAGGGGAACATTTCGAGGAACTTATCATAATTGAGTTGGCGAAAAACGCAATTTACCTTTTATTTTTGGTAATTTCACACGCCCACTCACTCAAGGACCTCGCCGCAGGAGCCCCAGGTCTTTTAGGACCTGAAGCCAGCACAATCGTGCTGCTAATGAGCGAATAAAGATATCCCGATGCCGCAGGACCAGCGGCAGTCAAGTGGCCAGCCGGAGGATTCGACAGTTGACCCCCCGCCTGGGTTCGCAAAACGAACTGAAAACCATAAAAAATGCAACACAGCCTCGGGGGAAAACAAAAAGGCACAAATGCATTTATTAGATGAAAATAAAGAGGAGTACAATGCAGCAGCCCGAAAGGTGTCAAAATCAACAATTTCCAGCCTGCAAACAATTCCACAGAAACCGAGGCACAGCGTGATGCAATTTCACCTATTCGAAGATCAAACCTCCCTCCATCCAAAATCCACTCTCTACAATCCAATTCCAATCCCGAGCCCAGTTCAGCTGAAAATTGGAGAGAGAAAAAACAGCAGTTTCACTTTTTGTCTTTTCGTTTTTTGTTTCTCGCTGGGAAAACAATGAAAAACGTGGCAAATTTCCCTTTGTTCAATTCGATGGCCAGAAATTGTTGAGTAGCAACAAAACAAGACAACAGAAGACGAGAAAAATTGACTTTAATGATGATGAGTTGGCGTTTAGAGTGTGCGTTTTGGATTCATTTGAATTGAGTGTGTTTCCAGACCCATTTTATCGGTTTTTTCCTCTGTTTTTTTTTTTTTTTTTGTTTTTGGCACAAACACGGGGAAATCTCTCTGGGGGAGCCAAGCGTTTAAATGTAATTAATTTCTGGCAACTCAAATGAGGGACAAGCGCCATCGCTAACTGCGGTTCCCAGAATACCCAGAGAACCATCGATCGATTTCACAGTTCCTCGTTATTTTCATATATTTCCCAAAACGATCTACCGATAATTTGGGCGCTTGTAAATCCACGCGACCCAGGAATTATGATGGATCGACATCGACTTTTGTGGCTGCATTTTCACGCGTTTGTTTGATGGAAAATTCGACTTGGTAGCCGACTGACAGCCGTTTTTCGGGGGCAGGGGGGCGTGTCAGGCCTAAGAACATCAAACAACTGGACTGTGATGAGCCTGCCGTTTTCCAGGAAACAAATTCAAGAGGAGCCCAAATCCCTTTTGGAGAGAATGCGCCACAAAAGGGGTGCATCGGACCGAAGGATCGGATAATTTGGAATTTCAGGCACGACATATCGGAGCCAATCAAGTTGGGAATATTTCGAGCTACCACAAAGCCGTAAAATCATATTAAAACACAATTTCTGGTCCACAACTGCGGTAGCGGGCCAACATCATAAAACATTTATATCTAATCCTTGACAATCATAAAAATTACACAAACGACACGATACAGCGCAGGGAAAATCAGACAAAGGCCAAGTGCCAGCGGCAAAAGAAATGTTTAAAATGTCGGAAAAGTGCTCGAGAAAAATGGGAAAGGGCGGGCACCGTGGAGAAAGCGAATAAACAGTAGTCAGGGAAAATGTCATAAAAATGTCTGACTCCCTCCTATAACCATTCCACTTACCAAACTATGCAGTGAGAAAAACTTTTTATACAAATTTTAATTTAATCCAAACTGTAGATTCAAACTAAAACTGTCATTAAAATAATGTAACTGTTAAATAAAATTTAAAATGGATTTATGTACCGTTTAAGAAAATTATTATTAACTCTAAATTTAGACAGTATTTTTTTTTTGAGAATCTGCAAAAAATTGTCTTATATGGAAAGTAAGATTTTTATACAATCTACAAATATTTTTCACTCTGCATCACCTCCGCTTAGTACGTGTGTGCAAAACAGTGGAAAATAGTGGAAAACCATCCCAGATTCGAGGCATTTTTATGACACTTTCCGTAACGGGCATTCGAGCGTGGCCAGCAGAAGGACAGAGAGACAATCCTTTGACTCAGCTCGCAGCGGGCATAAAAATATAGTAGTTGCCTTGCCGAAATAAAATCAACGTAATGTTTATGGCTTTTCACCGGTACACCTCCCCTGCTCCCGATTACACTCCTCCTTTGACCTGGCTGGTTGACACTTTCGTTTTGGTAATATTTTGGCTGACAGGCACTTTTGTTCGTGTGTCATTATCGTTTCGCCCAGATCCGGACAGTCGAGGTGGATTTATAATGGTACGATTAGATCGGACCGATATGAGAACCTTTGTACAGTAAGGTCCTTAGATTTAGTTGGAGTTGATAAAAATAGTTGAGAAAATGGAGAAAACTATTTTATAACATGTATTTATTGTAGGTCTTAAAATGATCCACTTCCAAATAATAACAGAAACATAACTAAAGAGAAAATAATTATAATTAACACATAAAATATAAGAATGTTATAGGGAATGTATTATTATAAAATAATCCTTTTGCAAATCAATTCAAAGGTAATTATTTAAATCACAAGTTTGGAATTTTCTAAGTACCCTATATCGTAAATGATTCCACCGCTAAGTACATTCCCAAGCTAAAATTCCTTAGGACCAGCTAAACAAATTCGAAATTACCCAGATCATCTTATAACCGCTTGAGTAACCCCCAGAGACCTTTGGGCAGCCTTCAGCGAGTACCGCCCTCTTGGTATTCCACACCTCGCCATCCATATCACACATATGCCTCCCCTATCAACTTGATGGCCAAACCAATTACTCTTCTCGTCCTTATCGCAGATCTTTCCCCTCTCCACACTGACAAACGAAAATATACATAAATATACTCCCCCGAAATTTTCCCCCTGGCAAACACTTTATAAATTACACGCCCACACTTGTCGACTGCCCCATTCCTCGATCCCCAACCCCTGGCCATATCGAAACTAATGATGACAGCCAATAAAAAATTCCAACAAATGTGTAAATTTGTAAAAATGCATGAAAAACAAAAAACGGAAAATTTCATAAAAATGTAAATTTCCGAAAAGC